GGGGCCATTTTATTTTATCATACGACAAGATGAACGTTCCAATAGCAAAGAATGTCAGATTTACTATTGTAGCTGGAATATAATATATTTCATCACCACGTATGAAGTTGGATATTGAAATTCCCAGTAAGGACCATATTGTTGCCACGAGAGCTCCAACAATTCCCCAACCAGCACTCTGGAAAAAATTAAGGAAAAGAAAAAGTCCATAAGAAAAACTGTGTACCGCGTATTTCCAACCACCAAGGTATTATAATAGTATTTACCTCAAAAAGTGAACCAAACGTTCTCGATGGTTGGTAGTAGCAAACCATCACGATTGCTAAGAATGAGCCACTCCCTATGCCTTGCATTGCGGGCACAATGAGATCAAACACGAAGGCAAGCCAATAAGCAAAAGCCGCCTTGAGAACTTTCCTTGCCATGGGCCATGTTGCTTTTGATTTTATTTCTAGGAGGAAAGGCTTAAATAGTTGACACCAGATATTTTGAGTTTCGATAGAAGACTGCGGTTCGGAAGTCACAAGGATAACGGATGGCTTCTCAAGGTTGTCGTCGTTTTGTGCGTATTGCTTGGTGTCCTGGTCAAACACCTTCGACAAATCTGAATAGGAAGGAGTCTGTTTACTAAAGCTTTGAAAGATGGAGGCATCGCCTGTTAGTATTGAATTGTTGTTATTCGGACACGTTTGCTGGTTGAAATTCCGGAACAATGGTGAATCGCCAGTTAACGTTAACTCGTTATCTGGATGCTGAGCATGTCTACCAAGGCCTCGAAAGAAGTCACTGGTTAATGTCATTTCGTTGTCATATTCTTCAATTGAAGGCCGCGCCTGAGGTTCAACTGTTATCGCATCATCTAAATCTTCCGAACGCGAATCCGATGATATATGACCTTCAAGCCTATCCGCCATGATAAGAATGACAAGAATTAAAAATACCAAAATTCAACTGCTCCATTATTATTTAAAATAAAATAAAAAAAAAAGGAAAAAGACGAAGTACTGGCACGCCACTCAATTCTTAAATGCACCAGTTACACCGGAATGTCGCGTGGTTTATCGTGGTTGATCAGCGGCATAGATAATCTTGTACGCAGTCACATTGTTGTTCACTTCTGAACAGTCTGATTTGAATCGTTTTTTTTTTTTGGAGTACACATATTAAGATGTCTACAGTTCAAGCTATTTATAAAGATCAAAGTAAGGATGAGGAATCCATCAAAAAATTCGAATATAAACTCGACTCTGATCGAAACAAGGAACCAACAAAAACCTTGGTTGACGTTCTTT